GATCGGCACGAGCAACAAAATCGTTGTTTTGGCAACTAATTAGCAAGTATTTAGCTACAAATTGACGTATTTTTTGCAATTTTTCTGGATCCGCCATGCTGGCCTGATAGGGCTGGATACGGGAGTGACAGAATCACTTGTGGTTCTGTTATTCCCTAACTTAATCCTAAGGTGTGTGTATCCGTGTCGAGAAGATGAATGACACTGAGCCTATCACGGAACCTTCGAGATACCAGGCGCTCTCTTGTCGTAGCATCGCCTTATCACTGTAATGCGTGGCTCTGCGGTGATTGACCTTCTTTCCCTCAGCTCCCCACCTCCTGATCCAATAACTGAACCTAAAAAAAGGTTTGGTTGTGCAGCCAGGAAACGACTGAGTCGTCTCTTCAAGAGCGGGGTACCTTATAAAACCGCCTTGCACCAAATTCTTGAGCGGCGTACGCAGAATTTGTCTCAGGTGGAGGAATAAACCCCCCATGAGCAGGTTAACAAACGTTTGCGCTCAAGTGATGATTCACCAAAACCAAAGGTGAAAAAGCCCTGCACGGCTGAATCTAAGGCATTGTCGCGGGTATCAAGGTGGGAATTTTGCACTTCGACTATCCGACTACCTCAGTAACGATGAAACAGCTGAGCATATACTTCGTGCCTATCCCGCTGGGTACCGAATCAGATTTTTAGAGTTAGGCAGAGCCGTACTTCTACCATCTGACCTGATACAAACTTATCGGCTTCGTTAAGAAGCTGAGTTTATTTGGTCGAGTGAGAATAGGTATGAGCCACAATAAATCCTTGCGGGTTGTGGTGGAGGGTCTAATAGACCCACTCACTTTGGACCTAACCTAACCTAACCTACCATATTGCGGATAAAGATGACAATGTTTTTCTATCCCAATACTCATATTGAGGTATATGAAAATCCCTATATCCATGGATTTCAAAATAAATAAATTAGTTACAAATTTGTACCTCTATATTTACAAGTACGTAGCAATATTTGGATTCTTCGATGAACTGAAAAGTTTTTATTTATCATTTATCGTTTCTCAATCAGAACTGAACTTGAAGTAGAAAAATAAAACAACTGTGGGGCCGCTACGCCTAGTCCCAATGGAATTATTCTGGATAGTGGTAGTTGATTATTCTACCGCCAATCCTATGCAGTTTACCTACCTATTTTCAGTCTGGAGGAGTAACAGTACGGTATTTTTCTGACTGACATCAACACTTGAGAATGCCAATTGAAATTTAACATGGTCTACTGATCCATTCAATACATATTCTCGCCATAAAATTGATTCTCCATTAAACTCGGCTCCTTTTTCTTCGGAACAAAACTCTCCATAATAACTAGTATGTTCACAGTTGCAGGTGTGCTTCTGATTTCTAAAATCTTCTATACATAAACCTTCATGTTTACATGGTACTTCATCGCACTTCATATTGCAGTTAGCTATAACACCTAAAAGATTTTTCAACTGTAAAATATTTGTTCAAATTCCTTATTTATTTGTCTACCTGAATCAGTTTCGTTAACTTTGGAAGGTAAATCTATACGATTATCGCCAATTTGAAAACCTCTTAGACACCCCACATATCCAGGCAAAATTGGCGGGTAGTTTGAAACTTTTAGTAAAGTCTCAGGATCGAAGCCACCCAAATTCAATTGAAAATATTCCGTTGGAGGTGCTGGTGGGCGTTGAGGAGCCAGTACCTCTGAAAAAGATGTGATTAGCCTGGAACTGCGAAAATAATTTTTTATTGTACAGTTTCTTGTTGAAAAATCGACGTTAGTTTTTTCAGTGAAAGCATACACAGGAATAGGCTATACCTAGGTAAACATTATTACCTTTTTTGTATCAGAAACGTCACATTCTGAAAATGATATCGTTTATTGAGAACAAACAGTAATGCTTCATCACATCACCGCGAAGTTGGAGTTTTTAGGCATAAAGGTGTAGATAGAAGAAGGAAACTAGTCTGATTATCTACTGAAAAGTTTCGTATAGTACACAACGTTTTTTCCCAATTTCAACTAATAAAGTTGCACATCTGGAAAGTACCACTGTTAAAATTTTTTCAATTCTCATAATTATTTTTTAAATGTTTTACTATTCGTAATGTATCACGGACGTGCATGCACTATTTCTAGATTCGGTTCAACTAAACTAGGAAATCACTATTAATCCGTAATATACGATCGATACATCGGACATACACATGATTCAATATTGATAAACACAGCGACACTTTTGTTGTCGATGCCAATGACAGGTTTACAGTTAATGAGAATGTACAGGAATTTACAATATTTCATGTAAGGCGAAAAATAATAAATGTTCATTTTTACTGAATGCCACACTCCCAAGCTTAATGGCGGTGATCTGACGTTAGAATGTTGCTTATACAACATCTGCGAAATTATTCTGCTATAGGCCGTTATTTGAATTTCATAAAATTGTTATAGCCCGTTATAGCTAAAGGCACTTTTGTAGCTTTTGACCATAATATTTTCGTTGATATCTGAAAAAGGAACCCGTTTGGAGCTAGCAAGTTCCTACGTATATATATTCTCAAGTTCAAATAAGCTAAATAGGTATAGTCTATACGAAGTCTACCCGTACAGCTCAATAAAAGACTAATGTCCGGGTCTGATAAATTTACTAGTTAATTCCATATAAAACCTCCCACATAAAAATAATGATTAGACAAAAAAATATATCACGCCGCCCATGTTTTATAGCGTTTCATTTGAAATAACTATCATCATCAGTGACAACAATTTTAAATTACGGTCCTGTCGTTACTTCTTTTGTAAATTGAATCGATTTCTTCAAAATATAATTCAGACAGCCCAATAAATTCGACAGGTAGGTAACCTAACATAATGAAAATTCGTACTTTCTCGTTTTGGGAATCAATTATAATTCGTGATAGTTTTATAATTCTCAATCCTGTAAGTAACGAAAATATCACTTTTTGGTCAAAATTCGATTGTATAATCTTGCTTGGTTTTTATGGCATGAATGAATGAATTTGTTGTTGATATCTGTTGAGAACTGTCAAGATGTTTATGAACATGTCAAACATGTATTCAAATGATGAAAGGACTGATATGCTTTATTTAGTTATGTAAAATCAAATAGAAATCCTCTTTTAGCAAGGAATATGTATGTTGCGCTATACTCGACTTGTATTCCGAACATTCAAATGTTTACGGGATGAAAGGGATTACGGAAGAAGAGTACGATTTGCGAAGTGGTCAGTTAATACGTAGAAATAGGGAAGTTGGAAATATTTGTAAAAAAATAATATGGACGGACGAATCAAAAGTCACCGACAATGGTTGGTTTAAAAGAAATATACATTATAGGTGGAATAATTCAAATGCACATTTACATAGGGAAACCAATTTCCAAGAAAGGTTCGAAATAAATGTTTGGTTGGGAATTGTGGGAATAAACATTAAAAACGAAAATCAGCTTTTTTTTCCATTTAATTGTATTGGTATCTGTTACGGTTTAGAATATAGTAATGTTAACATAAGATGAAAGAAACGGCCTGTATAGGATATTTGTAATTTTTCATGAAATTTTCAGTAGAAGAATAGCCAATTCACTTCAATTAAAGGACTAAGTGGGAGAATTAATAACTTTTCTCGAATTCATTTAATGTTAAAGAAAATAATATAAAGTTGCCACTCACCCATTTCAGGATTCATCCACGGTTTGTTTGAATATTCCTCCAGAAGTTTCACTCCAAGTGGTATAGTAGTATTCTGATTGTTCACGTACATGGTACTACTATTCTTATCTCGTTCGATTGCTATCTGAACCGACTGACTACTATTTAGTTGAGGGTAATTTACAGTTATATTGTGTATTTTATCATGGTAATTAAATAGAAATACCACTTGGGTACTGTTATCGATGTACAAATGGACGAAATTATTCAAGTGATCATTGGCATAAAAAACAAGTGCTCGATCTTCATAAGTTCTCAAATTCACTAAAAGTCTTTCCTCAAAAATTTTAGTCATGACGAGTTTTTCACTGCTGGTACTGTTGACCAAATAATTCCTTCTCAAAAATGATTCGGGTTGGGTGAATGTTATAGCATTCGTGTTGATATCTGAAATTGTCATTTATATTAAATAGAGTGATTGAATCATTTCTAGAACTACTTTTCAATAAACATCAACCCTCTTATCTCAAAAAGCACTTTGTTTACTCTTCTACATAAGAATTACAAGTAGCAATTAGGCACTTATTTGATGTCATAACAATTGATTATTAACATAACAGTTAAGGGTAAGGTGCAATAACAAATCATCATAATAACTAATGAATGATGGAACTGGAACCGCAGGCGTAGAGTCAATCCAAAACAAACACTGCTACCAAACACCAGAATTGCAATACTCTTCTCGATGTACGTTTCATCGACCAAGTTGGCGTCTTCATGGCATGAAGTAGTGGTTGTTTGGTTAGTGAATCGCGCATCGAGAGAGTGTGTTGCAAGTTCACTGTTTGGGAGCAGTACTGCTTTTGGATAATAATTAGTACTAACAGTTCATTCAGTGCCTGATCTTGCCTCCAGCTTCTATAACAGAAAGGAAAATTAGACCACATTAGGAAAGACCTTCAGCAGAATGGTGAAACAGGCCTTGGCTAGAAGACAACAATAGCCCTTCAAGAAAACGAAGTGTCACAACCAGTGCTGTCCCTTACTTATGTCAAATGATTGCCGAAGAGGGTGAGAGGAATTGGGTCTAAATACAACATTAGAACCTACTTCACATGAAGGAACACCATTCGTATTAGTCTCACAATAATCAAGCCACTAAACGTGAACTGCGACTCCAAGATTTGTATTTACCAGAGACTGTTGACAGTCCATATTAGCGAGTACAGTAAAAACACCCAGCGGAGAGAAACCAGAAAATCGGGAATAGCTGAGCGAACTTGGACTCATCGACATAACGGCAAGTGGTCCAAAGCTGAGATCATCCCCAGGAAAGAACACTGGTTCACGAGGAAGTTGAAAGGAGCTGTGTACATGTTGACATGTATGAGTAATTTTTCATAGAGGAGGTTTTTAGGCTATCAATTTTTCAGAAACTCGCCAATAGATGGCGCTGTAGAACAATTTTTTGAAAGCACTGTTTTATAACGCTGCGCACGCCTAAGTTCGTTGATTCTGATTCTGTCAAAATATTGGAACAGCAGCGATACAGCAACATAGTATCAATAATGTATATACGCAATATATAGAAACTTCTAATCAAGCGAGAAAACAGTCTACGATGAATTTAATGGCAAACCAAGAGGAGAAGGAAGAGATGAAAGCGCTCAAGTGACCTAATAATAATCTCAAAGTATCAGGAATAACATAATTCCTTTTAAATACTTCATTTTATTTTATTTTCATTTTATTTTTTTTTTGTTTCAAATTTGACATTGCACTTATTCTTGATCCGATTATTGATTCATTTTCATTTTGAGTCACAATAATTTGTTTGCTTTACAACTAAGCCTTATTACATTTTTTGTTTTTCATTTTTCATACTCATTGCTTTCACATTTCCATTCAATTTAGTTGTTGCTGTTTTAACTAACTCATCCTAGTATTCAAATTCGAATCAGTATTTCCAGTAACTTCAACATTTCAACAGTCTCATTTTCTTTTTTCTCCCTTAGATTTTAAATCTATTAAACCATTTTAGATAAAGGAAGTCCGAAATTGTAGCATTCATCATTTATTGGTGTTCTATTCACATTTATTTTCATTATACCCTCACTTTTATTCCAAAACCTTTACATAATAAAAATTTCATTCAATAAAATTTAATGATTCATCAATTACAACATCCTAGATTTTCATTCATTTCTATACTTACTTGTTTCGCAATACTCTCCGCTGTACGCCCAAGGGTTTGGACAGATACACTGGAAATTACTCCAAAGTTCTTTACATTGGGCTCCGTTTTGGCAAGGATTTGGATCACAGGAGGGTTTGCAATCCTTGATGATTTCACTGAGATGAACACTCATGTAGCTATAGATATCCAAAATTTCTTCATTTACAACTAAACCACGAAAACACCCAATCAGTCCTTGGTGAACAGAAGATGTAGGATCAAGAAGATCGCTGTTGATGTTTATCAGAATTATAACAATCATAAAAATGGATAAAAGAAATTTTCTATTTTCTAAACATTGTTCACCAAAATACAGTAGCTAACGATCAACACCGTTTTCAACAACTTTTGAAAAATTATTATTTTCTGTAGGCTCACAGACAAATGCTAAAAGATATGCAATTATGATTGTGCAACTGATGGAAGAATACATACAAAATTGTTGGAATATGAACTTGAATGCAATTTATATTCACCCTGTATAGTTTTATGCGGTTGCTGAATGTTGTTATTGAAAAGTTTATTTTGTCTATTATTTTCAATTTGAAGTTTGACTGTCACGTGTAATTTTGTATAGCTCAAGTTTATTAAAGTTCTACTTCAACTTTGCTTTTTCACTACGATCCAGAGTTTCAAGTACAATCTACAACAAAAATTTCAAGGTGCAAAATATTACTTGAAACAACAAATATTGATGACTTATTAACGAAATTTATGAACAAAATTCGTGATATATTATTATTAGGGTAGGTACCTGTTTATATTATTGTTCCTCTCACCTATATCAATTCAATAAATTGAAGGACTAATCTTACAAGTATTTCCATTATTCACTCAAGCTTTATATTTTCGTATTAATTTGCATTCACGAGAAAGTCACGAATTTTCAATTCTTGCAAAAACAATGGTGTACGTCGTCGCTATGATCATATAAGGTTCTAACCTCAACCGACTGACATGAAATATTTGGACTTTTTCTGACGTTTCTGAAGCTGATTCTACTGATTAATTTTTATTAGCAAANTTTGTAATTATATACTGTTTCAAAACCTGAGCGTAATAAGACACCCAGACATACATTGTTGTATTTGAAACCAATATTTAGTGAAAATAGCATAATACATTATAAATGGATATTCAGGTGTTTAAAACATGAGCGATTTTTCGAAAACAGTGTAGGTGTTTTAAAGACCAGATACCCATGAATATTTTACGGTATTATCTATATTGGTATAATAATGAACAATTGTAGTATAAAATATGATTTCTCATAGAAACCCTCTGTTTTCACTGATCCGCTTTTGTTTTGTCAAAAACTCTCGACGCGAGAAATGAGATTGTCCCAACTTAGTACACATATTGCTAGACGGTGCCGGTGCAAGAATCAAAATCAGTCGCGAGTATTTTGTTCAGATCTTCAATTTATTTTAGACAATCTTTCACCTAATATCAATTTATTTCCAAAACAGAAGTGATAATTTGACGTTGTCTAGTACTGTCACTTGATGTGTACTCGCACCTCTGTGAATGGAATGCTGAAATTAATTGGATTTCTTTATTATTTATTTATCAACAGTGCCGTGAGTCGCGAGTTTTTGACAAAATATTTTACATGAGAAAGGGGTGTTGGTGTTCAATCCTGCGATATTCTATGTGTCTTGAACTTCACGTTTCTCGGATTGTTGATATTGCCATGGTAACTTTGAAACGCGCGCGTTTTTAAAAGTTGGATTTAAACTCGCTTGGGCGTACTATGAATTAGCAAAACAGGGTACCAATAACCAACTTTGTTTTAATTTTGACCGAATCTACAGACTAACCAAATCCAAATTATCAAAAAACGTCCAGGTAAACATAGGATTAAAAATCCCCTTCTATCAACTAAATACAATTGAAGATTCTTATCGTCAGAACCGGGCAGGCAGTCCTTAATTAAAGACAAAATGTAAATAACCATAAATATAAATATAACCATAAATATAAATAAATAACTGCGTAGAGTTTCAAGTACAATCTACAACAAAAATTTCAAGGTGCAAAATATTACTTGAATCAACAAATATTGATGACTTATTAACGAAATTTATGAACAAAATTCGTGATATAATATTATTAGAGTAGGTACCTGTTTATATTATTGTTCCTCTCACCTATATCAATTCAATAAATTGAAGAACTAATCTTACAAGTATTTCCATTATTCACTCAAGCTTTATATTTTCGTATTAATTTGCATTCACGAGAAAGTCACGAATTTTCAATTCTTGCAAAAACAATGGTGTACGTCGTCGCTATGATCATATAAGGTTCTAACCTCAACCGACTGACATGAAATATTTGGACTTTTTCTGACGTTTCTGAAGCTGATTCTACTGATTAATTTTTATTAGCAAAGTGTTTACAATTTTATAAAGAACTCTTATGAAGAGTTTCTAGATTTTTTAATTTTGATATAAAAAAATGACTGCATGAAATAAATATTTTCTCAATCATTTTTCTAATTTTCTATCAGCAATTCCTTGAACTTTTGAAAACCTGAATAAAATTAATTGTCAGTAAATTAGAGCAGATATAATAGGTTTCCAGTTGGTAAGTTCCCAGTCTTACAAATCTTTTTCGTAGCGGTCGTCCACCAACGATTATATCGTCAGATAAAAGATAGTTTTCCCAAATTATATTCCCTAAACATATCGTTGCAATCCTATTTATTAACAAGAGTAGACATTGTACATTCAACAATTTTTTTCAAAAAAGTTTCGGGAAGTGTCCAATTTAATATTGTATCCATCGCATCTTTCAAATACCGCTACCGTCAGTGGTTATACAACAAATCTTTCAATAACAACTTTAATCGTAGCAGAAGTGTGAAAAGCTCGAAAATGTGTAATGAATAATAGTTCATAAATAACAATTATCGTCTGATCCCCACATTGAATGTTACTTCAATTGTGTAACAAATATTTTGATATAATTGCCATGGAATGGTGATAATTTAATATACCACTCAAAATTTTAAACATAAATGACCTTCTTTAGATGACATCCATATTTACATATTTACATTTCTAAAATATTTCCTAATTCATTATGAATGTATTATAATTTGTGTATTACTCGTAAATCGATCATATTCCAAAACTAATAGAAAGTGTAGATGTTTATTAATCATTCGTTAGTAATGTAATATTTTTTGTGTATTGAAAAAACAGCCCAGACATACACCATTATATTTCTTCATGATTCCAGAATAATTTATAAAATCGTCGCAGTGAACAAAGGTCAACAATTAAAAAAAATAAGAAGAATGAAAGTTTATAAACCTGATTGCTCCTCCGATGAACATAGATCCTTCAAATGGACCAAATTCTTCTTCTGGTTTCAAATTTACCATTTGAAAATCCTCGTTTATCATGAATCTAACATGATACTTATTATAATCGATCCAAACTTTATGCCACTCGCCCCCATTGAGTTTTCTTCCTGATATTATGACCAATTCTTTGGAAACTCCAGTGTTCAAAGTGAAATTAAATGTTAACTGAAAATCTGCAATGAGAAAAAATAGTATTGGTATATATCTCCTTTGACCAATAATGAGTGAATATAGAATGTATGTAGTCGAATATAATATTACAAGTACATATAGTAATAAGATAATTTTCGTAATGAATCGATTTAATCAAACGGTCAATGATAGCTACTTCAATATCTATTTGAATGAAACTAATACCTACATTTTGGTCTGAATGAGTTAGTTCAATTAATGAAAAAATATTTAGATTATTTTCTAAGTCAATTTGTTCATAAAATGTAAAAAATGAAAATTGCTTCATTTGGATGTGTTTTTTGGCAGATTTGGCCAAAATTCTAGGCTCGGTTCCAATATATTATGAAATTATAAACACATAAATGTATCTGTGTGAAAGAATTCAACTAAAAAANAACGCAAGCGAGACATAAGTGAAACCACCTATTGGTGTGACATCCAAGTCAACTTGCCAAGTTTTTATGTCAGTGTTGGTGGCTTGACCAATCAACCTACAACTGCGGTAGCAGAAATTTGGGAAGCTAACCTGGAATGCCATCAGTAAACGAACCCATATGTTTCTAGAAATGATATGAAATCGAGAAAGGCTAATGCAGCCAAGCTGCTGGAAACTAATTCCATGAAAATCAGAAGATAAATAGATAAGTACCATTCTGATCACTCCCATATTGGTTTCAATCTAAGAGCCACCGGTAGACAGCTGTTTCAGCTTATTGGGCATCGTCAGTACGGAACAGACAAAATGTAAACCAAGAAAAGTACTTAACAAAAATAACTGCGTAAACGCAAGCGAGACATAAGTGAAACCACCTATTGGTTTCAGTCAACTTGTCAGTGTTGGTGATTTGACCAATCAGCCGACAACTGCGGTAGCAGAAATTTGGAAAGCTAACCTGGAATGCCATCGGAAAATGAATCCACGATTTTAGAAATGATATGAAATCGAGAAATATCAATGCAGTCAAGCTGTCGAGGCCCGACGATTTTTTATTTCTAGAGTGTGCATTTTTTTATGAATAGTTCATTCCTGATTTCATCCCTTACTGGAGGGGAACAACCCTGTCGAAAAATGTAAATAACATGGGGTGCTGAGTGATAGCTCATTTGAAAGGGGGTTATATTTTCTATTCAACCATGCAAAGAATTACACTACAAACAAGAAAGCAATTGAACTAACACCAACTTTTTCTGTCATTACAGTAAATGTTCAAAATGCTCCCCATTGACCTCTTGGTCAACGGTCTATTTTTAGTTTTAGTCCTGACGCTTTGCAAAGTATTGAGAGTAATTGTTGCACACACTTCCGTAATCAGCGCACGCAACTCCTGAATAGAGTGGCACTGAGTTTCGTAGACTTCAGTAGGCTACAGTTTCGTGACGTCATAGGAAGAAATCTAAACGAGTTAGATCTGGTGATCTTGGTGGCCATTCAACAGATCCTCGGCGTCTGATCCATCGTCCTGCATAAACAGTATTCAAATAAGTCCCCACAGCAACTGCAAAATGAGGAGGAACTCCATCTTGTTGCAGAATAATGTACATGACAAATTCGTCTAAATTATTTTCGACAGTTGCCACTATCAGTGGATCTATCACTATTTCCAGCATTTCCGAATAGAGGGCACCAGTCAGATTTTCCTCAATGAATAACAGACCTATAATTTGATCACCCAGTATTCCTGCACACACAATAACTCTTTGGGGAAACTGGGTTTGAGTTTCGTGAAAAAGTCGAAGATTTTCATTGTGTTTTGCCACCCTAACAGACAAAACAACACAACGAAGGACAGCATTTACGTACGTAGGACACCAAACCAAAAAACTAACAAACGTCTTCAAGCCATTGAACATCAACATCACATACAAGCCAAACACGAAAATAACACAAAAAATAAACAGCTATGAAAAAGAAGAAGACAAAAACCAAAATGGGATATACAGTATACAATGCTCGGACTGCAACAAATTCTATATCGGCCAAACCAAGAAAAAACTGATCCAAAGATACGATGAGCACAAAAAGGTATACATAAACTCAATAGGATATAAATCAAAACTCGCAACACACGCCATACAAAACAAACATAATTTCCCCCCACCAGAGAACATGAAACTCATAAAACAAGTCAATAAGGGGAACCGCATGGACATTTAGGAAAACTTAAACATCCATAAATTTAACAGTCATAAATCACTTATCGAGGAACAAGTACAAATCAAAACACAATAAGACCTAACATTCAATATATTAAACAAATCAATACACACTCCTAGAAACAGTAAACCTAGAGAAAATCCAACACAAAGAATAGTACCTGATGCAATCCAAATACAGGCAAATTTACCTAGAGTACCTGGAGTACCTACATTGAGGCGATCGTACCGTATAAAAGGACAGACAACAGGATGACACGTTCAGATAGAGTAGGGCTAGAGGATGACAGCACGACCAGCTGTCGAAAGCGCTCGCAGTTATTGTGCCTACAAATTAAAAAAGAACACTTACCACTCGTTAAGGCTACCATAAAACTGGGATAATTTGGTCTAATAGGTGGTTGATACAGTAGGATAGCTTTTTTTCCAGTTGTTCGGAATGAGAATGCCAAATCGCCTTTTCTCCAACCGGGAACTTCTATGTATGATTGACTTGTAGTGAAAGTAACAACATACCTTTGTGTATCTGTAAATATGAAAAAAAATGATCATTGAGACCCTTGCGGAGACCAGTGACGAGACCTGGAGAGTAGGCAGATTAAGACCCCGACGTTAAGTCACAAAACCCTCATAGTGCGTCACTACCTGATTTCTCCATTTAATTATATGTATAATTAAGGACGAAGAAGGAAATTATTTTGGAGTCTACAGGGTGGCTCAAAAAAGTGTGACATATCAAAATAGTGTTTTTTTTAATGGAACACCCTGTATTTCGTTATTGTTTTTTATGAGAGTGCTAGGTACAACTGGAAACTAAATAACATCGAACTGTATAGAAATCATCTCTTCGAATTCTGACCAAGCATAAAAGAGGTTTTGGACTATTGATTTCGATAAAACCCGCGTCTCAATATTATATAGATAAGGTCAAAAATCATTGACCGTTTTTCATAATTTCGGACAAAGATAACTTCATTATTTCAAATAGAACACCCTGTATTTTTTTTGTTCTAAACAATATGAAATTCAATTATCTTTCATTTCATTTTGGGGTTCCCTATACCTAACCTAAATAGTGTTTCAGATATTGGCGTTTTCAAATAGTAGTTCTGTTGAATACAAAGATCCACTCTCTCTATGGAAGCCTGCTCAACATTTAATAACATTTGAGGTGTTACTCTTCATATTTTCCAAAATGGTTGGAGGAGTGTCGAAAACCTCGTTGTTCAAATATCCCCATAGGGAAAAATTAAGACAAGTCAAATCTGGTGATCTCGCTGTCCAATTTTATGGTTTTCCCCTGGGCCAATCCATTTATTCGGAAAGTACATATTCAAAAAAACTGTCTGACAATGAATTTGAAATGTGCCGGCGCTTCATCCAATCGTAACCAGATCCGCGTCACATTCTCCAGAAGATCAGGAAGATCATCACGTAAAAATTGTAAAAAAAAATTGATCATTCAAGTTTTCATAAAAACAGTATGGTCCTATAATTTGTGTACCTATGATTCACCCCCACACGTTAACCAACCATCTTTTCTGGTGATCCAGATTGCGGAAAAATTTGGGATTTACGTCACTATAATAATAAACATTGTGTCTATTCACTAAGCCATTGTTATGAAAAGTGAATTCATCATAAAATGAAATCCAAAAAATGTTCATGTTCACTAAACTTGTCCAGGACCCATAGACAAAACTCGATTCGTCGATGGTAGTCTATTTCATATAATTCCTGGTGCATCTGAATACAATACAGATGAAAATTTTTTATTACCCTAGAAATGTCCCGTCTGCTTATCTCTGTATCTTTCTCGATTTTACGTTGACTAGTATGAGGATTTTCTTTGCTTGATCCCATAATGAGAAATTCAATTTCTTTGTTTTCATCTATTTGACTTTTCATAAGCTACCCTTCCAGTCCTACGAAATTCTTGTAGCAATCGTCTCTTAGTGTAATAAGTTGGATTTATTATATTTTTAGTTGAATTTTAAATACCAAAACACATGTGTTTTCGTATGAAAAGGGAACCTTATCATCTTTCAGAAATAACCTTAAGGCCAACAGAACCAAGCCNTTCTCAAATAGTATGAATTTACATCACTGATTGCTCTGAAAAATAAAAGTTTCATTCAGCTAGCATCGCCAGATTTTTATTTTTTGAGAGTTTTCGGTCATAAACTAAAAGGAATCTCAACAAAGAGAATTCAGTGTTACGATCTTCATTCGGGTTTGAATGAGGTCGTGGTTTGAAACTGTATCCTAACGTTTCGCCAGCACGAGTGGCTGGCTCACCGATGACACCATCAAGATGAATAGACCTCTGAAGAAGCCAGCCACTCGTGCTGATGGTTCACCGATGACACACTCAGGATGAATAGACCTCTGAAGAAGCCAGCCACTCGTGTTGGCGAAGCGTTAGGATACAGTTCCAAACCACGACGGCCGTCAAACCCGAACGAAGATTGTAACACTGAAAGTCTTGTCCGCGAAAGCCTTAACGAATTCATCAGAACCCACCTAGTGCCGTGCTGACAGCCGTTATCCCTGAGAAATTTCAACATTACCTAATTTACAATAGCTCTTATCAGATATTTGTGCAGTGGAATAACATGTGTCGGTTTTTTTGTAAAACAGTTTATAAAATTTGAATTCTTCAAATTCTTGATCACCTTTATAATATCATATAAATAGGATTTGCTAATGGTTTGAACACCGCTAACAATATATGTACTAATAGTCTATTATATCATTATTGACACTTCAGAGGCTACATTAGCTTGATGTGCCAGATGGTTTTGTTTTTATTATTCGAGTAAGATTTTATTGTGGCAAATGGAAACGAAACGTATCGATATTGACTTCATTAGGTTATTTCAAAATTTTTGTCTATTTTAATGTCATATGTTTTTGTAGCTCCATATCCCAATAAATATTTATTCTACTTTGTGGTGTATACTGATCGATAGAGAATTGTATACTCTATACATTGATGCTGTATTTTTTTCTGAAATTTCAGTTTTTTTCCTCATTTTAGCTTACTACTATATATCATTAGGCTTTTCGGCCAATTTTTCTCTATGAATACAAATTGAACCAAAGCGCTACCAAAACAGCCCGAAAAATCAATCAGGTCTTGGCAATGGTATTGTTAATGAACACACTGTTCGACGTTTGCAAAATATCTTTCCGGAGATTTTAGCTTCGAAGATGAGCCCCAGGACGAGGATTCGAGGACACTGGTGGAGGCTGACCCATCAGAAATGGTTCGTGGTATGACAAAAAAACTGAGCGTCAGCTCCCATGCGATTTTTGATGGTTTAAAACATATTGGAAAGGTCAACAAGCTCGAAGAGTGAGTGCCCTACGATTGGAACGATCAACAGAAATTGGCACGTTTAGAGGTGTGTTCTTCTTTGCTTTTGCGCATCCAAAGATCCTTTTTTGGAACCGATTGATACGTGTGATGAAAAAATGATCCTCTACTATAACAGGAGACGTTCAGGACAGTGGTTGGACACTGTTGAGCCACCTAGGCACTTCCCAAACGCGAAACCTCACCAAAACAAAGACTATAGTTACTGTATGGTGGTCGGTGGCTGGTTTGATTCACTGAAACCGGGCAAAACCATCACAGCAGGGTCTTATTGTGAGGAAATCGACAAAATGTACCCAAAAATTGCATCAGCATCAGCCGACACTGGTCAGCAGAAGAGGTCCTGCTCAACAACAACGCCCGTGTCACAAATCACCGTCCGAAAATTAAACGAACTGAGCATCAAAACTTCCGCCAATCAGGACCAGACAAGAACGGCCTTCGTCTACTTCACCGAATCCAGAGCACATAATTTTAATGCTGACGGAATTGATCTAATTACTTGTGTCATGTTGGCAAAAGTGCACTGATTCAAATGGCGCTTATTTCGATTGAATTGAATAAGCATTCACTGAGATATTATAGTTTCAAGTAACGGACAAAACTTTCGAAACGACTTAATATTATTAGCAATTATATTATCAATGAGAGTTTGCGATTTTGAAGTTACTCTTGTTAGTTCCACAAACCTTATTCACGATACAAGGTGTATGGTTTGTCTTGTCTTTTATGATTTCATTATCGTACAAATAGTTTTTTCTGGTTCTGAATCATCTTTTCAAAATCTTAATCGTTGTTTCATGTGCTGTTGTGCATTATATTCACTAACACAATACACAAGTGATGTTAACCAGATAAGTACTTTTAGCGAAGAAACGCTAGCAATAATATTAACAGTATAACAATTTTGACCAACATGTCAATGAGTAATTTGTGATTCTTGTTTCCCCTTTATTATATTTCGAAGATACCGTCGATTGCGATAAAATCAAAAGTAGCAACTGTGAGAGTATATAAAAAACGGAAATGATCATTCTGGTACTGGAATCGTAGCAAAAAAACTGCTTAGTCGTTTGAAAACATATACTATGAACTCAACCCAAAAATGACGTTGAGCAAAGCGATGAAATATTTGCGCCACAATATGGCGTTACTGATTTTTTCTGCTTCCCATGTCGGTTTCAGTCATTTCGTAAAGTTCTATTGAAACGTGTGAGATTAACAGATAATTATAAAATGTAACATGAGACAAATAACCCTCTCTCAACCTTGAATGATCAACAGGCAGAAAATATGTATATTTGTTAGTTAAAACTTACTCGTTTCAACACACTCTAGTGGTCCTAGAGTAATCCTTCCTAGTGCGTCCTCCGGCAAATCAGGTTGTTGAAGAAACACCATCTCTGTTATGCCTAAAATGTCGGCATTTGTATAATAACCGTCATCTGTATACCATTTATCATCATCTATATCCTCGCAGTTGCACCACTGAGATTTATTTTCACATTTCTTTCCTATAGAACACGGACATGTGCCCCTGTAAAGCTGCAGTTATGAAACAAAACTGATGTCACCTTACCAGTAAGGCCTCGAATTATTGCTGATTTTGAGAATATCATGAAAAGAATGTTTAACTGTTTCTATTCTCATAATGAAGGAAAATCTGTGAATGTGAATCTGTGAATATACAGGGCGTTCCAACAAAAACTGAACCTCCCCTGTAAGTCAGAAACCGTAATGTAATCGAAAATGTCAAAGAACCCGTCAATTTTTATTTCACCCCCCTGCGGTCAGCAACTACCCCCCTATTTTTTTTTCAATGACATGGGGGGGTCGAGTGATACATCATTTGAAAGGTCTTTTGTCCCTCTATTGCCTCTGTAATTTTTTTTGCAGATGGTTCATACGTTATTGGAAAATTAAATGTGAAACATTTTATTTAAGAAAAAGCAGAAAATTAGCCGTCTTCATTTTAATGAGGAAATCAACAACAAATGATAACAGTGGAAACAAAATCAACGGATAAATTGTTCAAAATGATCTCCACCTACTTCCATACAATACTACAGTCTACTCTCGAAAGCGTTCCGTACATTATTCAAGATGTCCGGCATTCGGTCAGCATTCGGCATTCCCGAACAATTCTCTGTCGCAGGTCTTCTAAAGTGGAGTGACCATCTAGATCAAATGATCTAGATGGCCACTCCACTGGACCCCTTCTACCTATCCAACGCATTGGAAAACGTTCGTCCAAGAACTGTCTCACCCGAACATCAAAATGTGGGGGTGCACCATCCTGCTGAAATGTTATTTCATTTTCTACTGAATTGTCATTTTCTAAAATTTGTGTAATCATAGGATATACACAGTCTTCTAATAGATTCAAGTATATGTCTCCATTGAGATTACCTTCAATGAAGAAAGTCCAACAATATGATTACCAATAATCAGGGCCGAGGGAATCCAAATTTTCCCAACCCCACCAGCAAAATTTTCCAACTTTCGAAAAAATGAAAGAAAAGTTGGGAATTCTGTAAAATTGTCACTTCAAAATTTCAGGACTGTTCTCTTACTTGGGAGAAATTAAATTTTTTGAAGTTTTCAAACAACTCAGAATTTCAAAGTATGGGATCTCCAAATTATGCATATTGGGAAATCCCAACCTTCTCCTGGTTCTTTCCCTTTTTTTATTGCCTCTCCCTTTCTTTTCTCTCATTTTTATTTTTTTTTTTAATTTTTATTCATTTTTTACTATTATTTTTTTATATCTTCACGGCCTTGAATTTCCCAACTTTTTCCCATTCCCAAGTCGAAAAAGCAGGGGGGAAGGCTACCCCCGTCCCCCCTCATGGTGACGGCCCTGCCAAGAATGCCGGCCCAGACTAGAAGACCTGCGACAGAGAATTGCATTATTGTATGGAACTAGATGGAGGTCAATTTGAACACTTTATCCGTTGACTGTGATGCCATTGATATTACTTTTGTTGATTTCTTCAATAAAATAAGCGACAGCGAATTTTCTGTTTTTTTCTTAAATAAAACATACAACATTTAATTTCTCAATAACGAATGAATCAATTTCGAAAAAAAAATACAGAAGTAATAGAGGGACAGAAGATCTTTGAAATGATGTATCACTTGACCCCCCATGACATTGAAAAAAATAGGCGGGTAGTTATTGACCGCAGGGGACTGAAGTTTTGGGTATGATTTTCATATCACAATTAGTCCCCTCGGAAATAAAAAGTTGACGTGTTCTTTGGAATTTTCGATTACACGTCCGTTTCCTGGTCACACATGGAACGTGTGAACAGGAAGATGAAATTGTCAGGCATGTTCTATGCGGGTGTCCGGAATTATCGTCAATAAGAGAGTGTGTGTTCGGCGAGTATTGGCCTACACCTGCCAATATAAAGGAGATGTCTCCTATTGACCTGTCCACCTTTCTGGAAAGTACAGGATGGACGATGACCTAGTAGGACAACTCCTCGGGAGGATGTACAATGGGTCACATGTGGCTTAGGTGCTGTAGGCCTACACTCACCCTCCCTATTCTACAGATACAGATACACGTCCGTTTCTGACTTACAGGGTGGGTTTTCGTTGGAACGCCCTGTATGTATCGAAGGTGAGTTGTACAGAGGAAGTGCTAGAATTATATTTTATTCATGAAAATAAAGATTTTTTTCCTTCATTTATTCTTGACAAATAATATCAACCATGTAATTCCCAAAACACAACAAAGGTCGTAAATGGCATCTTAGTGACACATATCATGCGACAAATATGTATAACGTTATGAAATATCAATATGTTATGGTAGTACATTGAATTAAATTATGTTTTGATATTTCGGAAATAGAATTTTTTTATCAAAAATACTTGGTCATCACTCATACAACCATTCAATCTTTAAAAAACTCCTTCGGTTCTTTCTCAAATGAACGACTAATGCAATGGCGAAAATTGTTACTCATTGTTGAATTATTGAAAAGTTGGATTTGAACCATAAACTGTAATAAAAAATAAAAAAATTCTAGAGTCCAATAAAATGTCAATTAGGACCTGATTGACGCCAAAAATGTAAACAAATAAATTCAACAAAAAATAATTCAAATACCTTTTCACGTCACCGATGAAATCCACCGTCTGGTTTGCAGAACTGATAAACCAGGTGGCTGAATGTAATTCTAAAGGAGCTCTCTGACAATCATATTTCACATACTGGCTGCAATTCAGGGAGTGGGACACGAGTTCTTGAAGCATATCTGCATCAAATTCTCGATATTTTATGCTAAAACTGAAATCTTTCTCAGAGGGAGATCTGACATCCATCTGACTCGGTAAATTATGTTCCACGATGGTTTTAGTAGAATCTTCATGACTCTGGAACTCGCAACGAACATGAGCTGGTGGGAATCTTCCATTTCCATCAATATCAATGAGATAAACATCTGGTTTTGTATAACCTGCGGATCATAACCTTTGGACAGATACATCAGACATTTTAATAGTATGTAAAATCCTGAGTTTTCTACTTCATTTACTGATCTTTGATAAATGGTAACACTAATGTACAACAAATTTCGCATTCATTGATAATAATGATTTAGAAATGATAATGAAGATCCATTTTGAACTGTTATCACCTATACCGTGTAAGCCCGGTGAATTTTTCAATTGTGCAAAATAAACAAACAATTATTCTGAGGCCCTTCGAATAATTCAAAAAATGTTTCAAACTGAGAAAAGGGTTTTTGATGGGATATTCCTATCAAATTTATACAATGTCTAGACAGGACCTTCTGAAATTGTATTTTCTGAACATATCGCCCTTTCAAAGAATAATCGTACAATTCACACATGCAATTTTCCATGGAGACATCCAGAATTCAATAAATTCAAGCCTCCTATAAATTTGCGACATTTCTGAATAAAATCATCAGATTATCATATATTTAGATCTTACCCAAAAGTGCTAGTTCCTCACAAGTCTTCCTATATTGAGCAAAATGACAATTTTTTCCTATATATCCAGTATTCGTACAATCACATATGAGCCTGTCTTCTTTCACAGAACATTTTCCTCCATGTTCACAAGTATTTGGTCTTTTACAAGCATCAATGAATCTACAGTCATCAAGAGTAACTTCACCAACCACCCTCTCACTTTGTAATATCGACCTGGGTTCCAACAGAGCTCCATTCACAACTATGTCCATCATACAGCCCACTAATCCAGAGTTGGATCTTGACCCTGCAGCTACCTTGATTTTATCACCGATTGCAAACTTTATGTCAGCAATTTTCTCTTGCTTAAAACGATTGTCCACTGTCAACATAACTTCAGCGTTGGTGTAAGAGAGATTGAGAGAATGCCATATACCTGGTGTCTTCTTAACGCTAATCAAATGAGTAATATTTTTAGCGTTGTCAGATAATTCAAATCTAATTTCGTCGTTGACTACGCGTATCTCCCAATAAATACCTGTTTGAGCTTCACTAGAAGCAACCACACTCAAGTTACTACTAGCTTTGAAGCTGAATGAAAGGTATAAACTATCTGTATGATTGTTATGCCACCAGATATGAGAGGAAGAAAAAGGAAAAGTTATCGGAATATCTTTCACATCTGCTTCATAAAATTCTGGTCTTAGTATTCCGATGTAATGTACTTTCGGATTATTTTTATTCAGTTCATAAATAATGGATATATCGTTATAAAATACATATTTCAAAGAGCCAACAAAGTTGTTAGTGGACTTAAGACCAGTCTTCTTCTGCAATTCTGGTCCTCCTCCTATGTAGATTTCTGGATCAATATAGAGTAGTGGGATACCGGTGATATTGACAGTTACAATTTCGTCATTCAAAATCAAATGAAGTTTATCGTATTCATGAAAAATAGTTAAATTGTTCCACTGGTAGAGCTTGAAGTCTGGTGTCTGGCCCAGGATTGTAACCAAGGGATCCTCGCCAAAATTTACCTCTATGAAAATAGTGTTATTGTAAATGGAAGCAGCGATATAATGATCCAAACCCTGTTCTCCTCCAGCAGCATACAATAGTGCTGAATCATCAAATCTTGTTTTGAACATCAATGAAAAACGTGTTACCGATGAGTGTACCCGATCTTTCCAGTCATAAACTCGATAGGAAACATAAGATGAGCCTCTCAAGGTGAGAATTGTCGCAGCTGAAATATATAAATACGGTTGATATATCAAGCTCAACTTCTATAACTTTCTAACTATACAACTTACTGTACATATCGCAATATTCCCCTTCATATTTTGTACCAAAACAATCGCACGTTAAAGTATTGTAGTGGTTGATACAACGAGATCCCCGGAAACAGAGATTTTCGTCCGTGATGCACTTATTGGTACATCCTTCCTGAACGTTTTCATGTTTTGTTGCTATCAAAGGAGTAATGGGTAAAAGATCAGATGCAGATTTTCCCGTACTCAAAATTACATTTTTTATACACCCAACGAAGGATTCGATAATGTATTTGACACCATGCAGACGTTCTTCTGAACTCAAACCTGAATAATGAAATTTATATTCAGAACTTCTTCAAGATTAGCAGTAATGAGAAAATATTACCTCCAATAAGAATAACCGATGTAACATTAGCAGCAACTCCGTAGTTATTCTCCTTATCTAGTCCTTTCAGAGCTGTTTCTTCTTTCAAGTCGTCTACAAAAGCCATTAATTTTGCACTATGAACGTCTATTCGCACCTGGAAATAGTTTTGTGTATGTGTTTCAGATTATTGATAAATAATATTCAAAGTAGGGTTCATTATGCAAATTATGTGAAGAAATGAAGTACTCATATCTACAAAAATCCATTTTATTCTTAATTGAATAATTGCACTTTTTTTGATGGTTCGATAAGTATATAATCATTTTTATATCAAAAACGAATAGAATGGCTTCATGCAGTTATGAAATATACGCAATGAGATTTCTAGGGTGTTAAGAACTTGGTTAGGCATGGAAGTCTTAAAATTTTACCATCTTCATTATGTTTCGAATTCTGTTTTTATTCCACTTAGTAATACTAAAAGACATTTCAAATCCTGTGAAGCTATGGTTCCAGCGACTCTATAATTGATTATCTGAAGGAATAAAATGTAAGACGATTTATAGTTTCAAAAAATTTTTAAAAATAACTTTTAGTTCAGAATGATTTATATTCTTCAGAGGAAGTTTACCAGATTTGATTAATTTATTTTGAATATTTGTTCAGCTCCTATTTATAGTTGTCTAAGTATATTTGATTGTTAAATGAAAAATAAATTTTATTCATTATTTCTTCGTTAAGAAAGAGGGGTCCTAGTTAGGCCCTATACCCAAAGCAACAACCTATTCGGAGGGCGTGATAGCATTGTCAACCAATGACCGTGAAGTAAGCGATCATTAGATCTGAGAATCGTGTGCTATAAGCAGACATAGCAAACGTAGAATAACAGCCATCTGCAGTTGTCTGGCTGAAATTTCTGTCATTTAAAAGCGAGCCTCATCAACATTATTATTATTATTACTATCAATATTGATATTATCAGGTTGGTAGAGTCCTGTCCCCGAAGCCCCGATACATTCGAGAAGGACCGCCAACATATTCAACAAATGACCAATACCCACAACTTGTGGGGAAGGAATCTCATCTATCGATTTCCAAAAGTAAAATTGCCTGTCAACGTACACTTGTCAGATTATTAATCAAATAGTTTACATTTAGACTTCACGTTTCTCTGGGTGTTTATGTTGCCATAGTGACTTTAAAACCCTGCGCGTTGTTAAAAGATGGATTCAAACATGATGAAGTGTACTTTAAATAAGAAAAATAAAGTATAAGCAAAGAAAAGCATGCGAGCATACCGTCACTGAATGCCATTCATCCTTGTTGAGTCCTCTACCAACCGTGAGTGCTGTGGAATGTTTTCCATAAACATGTACGACTTTGAGTTGTCCCTGTTGTACTATAACGTACAAGGCATATGGTTGTAAAGATACACCTGTAGGAACTTTAACGTTATGATATACTAGGAGGCCATGAGGCAGACGTGTTCGAAACTGGAAGGAGATTTGTCGGCATAACCTACATGGAATAACAAATAACAAAATTATTCATGATAATAATGTTCACATTATACCTGAATTTCATTCGAGGCGTATTTCACTACACGGTACATTCAACAGTTGGACTGATACACGAAAATATTCTCTACAATGTCTTTTATATAACAGTAGATAGTTTTTTAAAAAGAGGTAGTTTTGAAAAAACAATTACCAATTACAATACAATATTAGTTCCAGAAAACAGTTATTTGAAAATCTAGCTGACTTGAAATCAATCGGAATACCAATATACAGGTGATATATCTGATAAGTGAAGCACTTTCTTAAATATTCAGATTCGAAAAAAAGTGGAGTCATACTCCTCCTAAACTTAACATTAACGTTATAGATGTCTTTAAAAAAAGTAAGCTTTTTGGTTAGGATAATCTTATTGAAAATGTTTGTTCTCTATATACAGCCAACCGACATTCTCCAACTCATGAGATAGTTTTTAACCTCTTATGCCATAAATCAGTCTCAAGCATTAGTTTTGTAGTTTTTGTATTTTGGTTTGATACCAATTAGTTAGTGAGAGCCGCAATAGTTTTCGCATAATTAAAATGAGTTAAAACAAGAGATTAGTATAATATTATTTTCAATTTCATTCAAAGATCACCTAGCGCCATATATCACTTTCAATGGAGAATATACTCGCAAGGTATTCACGTGTTTCTCAAGTCTCTAAAATTGATCAAGGATCAGCTTCTTTTGACCGCTTGAGCATTTTACCATTGATCCTGATATTTATATCTTCAAGTACGCCAAGTCGTTTCAACATAGGCCCTAAAAATAAAACGTTGAAGTCTGGGCAATAAAAAGCAAACAGTGATTTGTTGCGGTCTCCATGAAGTCATTCAAATCACTATTGATGAATCACATGCATCTTCTATTTTTCGAAGGCCAAAACCTATAATGAATTTGAGTATTGATATGAGTATTAATTGATGAACTTGACGACTGAAAACAGTCGTCAAGTTCATCAATTTTTTTCAATATAGTCTGGTGGGTTATAAATAACCTGTAAAGTAAACTATTTATAATTGATTTTTACTTTGATTCAAAGTTTCTCAAAAGAGTGATTCGTATTTTCAATAATTTAACTATGAAGTTTTCCTGTGACATAAATCAACAAACCTCCACCTCTAGCATTTTGATCCACCTTGTATATTCGAAAACCATCTCAGTGTTTCGTCTATCATTCAGCCAGGTTTCACATATTGAAAATAGTTCATATCGTTTAAAATGACTTTGTCACAAGCAATGAAGTGTTCACATCACATTGAAGTTTTCTGAATGTGAGAACTGGTACATGGCCACCCCCATGGCCACACACATATCAAAAATGTCCAATGGGAATAATAGTCGAGAGATACCTTATTTGTAGGGTCGTTCAGTTTTACTCTGTATGTGAAATTCTCGACATCACAACCATAAGCAATATCAACGATATTGAGAAGTAACTCCATCTCATTGAAAAAAAAAACCCATGGAGGATCTAACTGGATGACGTTGTTGATGTTTGGCATAATTTGAATATGTAGCAAATTGAAATATTCTTCACCATTTAATTTGCTACTACACAAGTATAAGTATAATTTTCATGGAATTTCACTTCAATAGATATTATTAACATGTGACCCAGAAATAGTATACCTAATACTATTTCTGTTCGAAAACTCAATTATCGTAAGAGAAGCAAATGAATAACAATGATGTTTGCTTGGTTACTATTTAAGATACAAACCTTAATTGAAATGTCTGAATTATATCTCCATCTATCTGTATGAAGGTATTCGACTGAGCAAACATGAATGTGTCGCCAATGCCTGTTTCTTGAAATGTCAGCTGGGGGCCACGCTTCTCTCTCGGCTTAGCAGTCTGTTTCGATAAGGATACTCCCCCTAAATAAATTATTTTAAAAATACAGAGCTATACAAATACGAGTCTCTGAGTGGGTAAGAGATAGAAAGGCTTGAAACAAAAGCGGTCAGCGACTATCTCATGCCAAAAATGAACTGTACTGTTTTGGTTCCGTAGATATGGAAGATGAAAGAGTAAACTTGTTAAATTCTGCCTTCTGGCCTTCCTGATTGTTTACTTGATTTCGATGAGAGATTAAAGATATATTATATGCACTTAAAAAACGGCAAATTATAAATTATATTTTTTGTTGGTACCTTTAATTTTTATTTGCCGAAATACTGAAAGCCTATTTATCCGTTGCCAACGGACAGTCAGAATAATACAAAATACAAATGAAATTGTCCACACGTACCTTCAAGGGTACTGCTGATCTTAATTCCAACCTCAACAGGAGAAAGAAAAATAGTTAAAGTAAGAAATGACACGGAGAAAGAAAGAATATGTCAACTACACTTCTAGTATATTTTGTAGAAATATAAAATCAAAGAAATCAATAACACACTATTTGTATTGGCATTTGAATGAGGAAAGTTAACCCTATTTATATTCGTGTGGAATATTATTATACAAGCTTTATATTTTGTAACCGAAAAATAAAACTATTATATAGAGTGTCTTTCAACTTTCTTGATTGGCAGTTTTACTGTCGTAAATAATTACCAACCTGTAAATGAATATATCTTTTCCTAATCCAATCATGAATTGAAAAGCAAATGTAGAATGTTATTATTAATGGATACCGAATTTTATTTGTAAAGTATTTTCAAAAATAAGTGAATACGCAACTTTTCTTCACTGTTACTCTCCATTTATCTCATAGTTTTTTCATGCAGTCACTGCAGATCTATATGGTCGTTGATCAACGGCTGGTGAGGTTTTTAGGTTCATTAGCCGTGGTCTGCTTCTTCTCTTGGTTTCGATGTAGAATGAACCACAACTACACGGTATTCTGTATACTCTCGTGGGATACTTAATGGATCCTTGGCGTTTTTTGCTGACCTAAAACTATTCTCTATCGTTCAATCGCATTATCCGAAGTAAACGTAAATGCTTCGTGGGAATTTCTATCGAATCAACTACTCTTACCAGTTTATTCCAGAAACAGAAACAATACAGAAAGCAACAAACATTTTTTAAATTTAATAGAGGGACTCTCGATTGAAAAATTAGAATTGTTTCTCTCAGAAATAACAGCAATGAAGTATTGTCTAACCCTGCTGATGTTGCAAACATTTTTCGCCAAGAGTTTAAGGAATAATTTCCATCTGAAATAATTATTGATCTTTCATCTCTTGAACGCCAAGTCAGAAATGAAACATGTAACTTTATACAAAGAATGAAAATGGGTAGCAATGCTGGTTCTGATAACATTCCACCTACTTTTATGAAGCAATGCCAGTCACCAGTCAACACTCGCTCTTTTTGTCAAAATTGATAAAATGGAAGCAAGTTGGATCCTTCAAACTATCGTCGAGTTAGCTTAACGTGACTTTCCTGAAAATGCATGGAGAAAATAATAACCAAAGAACTAACTACTGTTTTCTTATAGAAACATCAAAAATCAGCAACATGGATTTCTCCATGGTCGATCCACAATTTCCAATTTACTACACTGTCAACCATTGATCTTCTAAACTTGACGTGAGTTGTCCTTTCGATGTCATCTACCTTGACTACTATGTATTCGAGATTTTTCATCAAAAACGTATTACTGTGTTCGAATAGATGACAAACTTTCGAAACCAAAACCAGCAGTAAGTGCAGTTCCCCAGGGATCTGTAATTGGCCCACTACTTTTCGAAATATTTATTAGCGATCTCGTAAATGAAGTTTAAACCAAAGTCATTCCTTTTACTGATGATACAAAATTGTATGCAAAGCCAAACCTAGAAAGAAATACAATGGTAAATGACCTTCAGCGAGTAGAAGAGTGGTGCCAAAAGAGGCTCCTGAATCTGAATGAGCGAAATTGCAGTGTTCTGCATCTTGGTTCTAATAAGAAAAAAAGTTATTTTATTAAGAGATTTCCACTGAAACCCGTGAAACACCAAAAAGATATCGGTGTTCCTCTTTTCCGTTACTCCAAACCACGAAGGTATCATCAACACTTCGTAGCCAACAGGGGGGTTAAACAGGCGAGTGTTTTCCAGAGCTCGTCGTTAAAATTGTTTCCAGTAGAAGTTGACAACTACGGGACTTCCGTTTGCTCATAGAATTTTCCATTCCACTGAAAGTATATTGATGTTGAGCAATGTTCAAATAACTCGCTGATGAGTTGCAAAGTTTCACTAATCGAAACCATTGTGAATAAAGATACGACATCGAAACTTACAACACGTCATTTTGATTCACTTTCAAATCGCAAATTTTCTCAATAAAAGAAGCTGATGAATGAACAGAGCCGATAAGTACCCGATAAGTCCCGATCTCATACGTCGGAGACACTATAGTACCGACGATCGGCCTTAGTAGGACATCCGTCTTATGCATTTTCGGTAGCTCATATAAACGATGTGGTAATGCCTCGGTTCTCAGTAACCCTTTATTCACATACTGGCTAATAGATGATGCACGAATTAGCTGGTTTGTCTTTCTCGAAACGCACCATGCCGCTTGAGCATGTTTCATTCAGTCGTGCTCGTTCATCACAACGCTGGCATTTCATATGTCAGCACGTTAGATCAGGATATTCTCATCATTGTTAGGAGCTCTCAAAGCTGATCTTTCTGTATATGTCGCGTTGAACTTAGGTCTGGTGAAATTATCACCAGAGAAGACAAGGATTTTGGCTGAGGGGAACAATCTTACTCTTATACCACCCACAAGTTCAAAAGAGGCTATTATTTCCAATGTAGAAGCAAGAATCCGCGAGTTACCGACCACGGCTGCAAAGGAAATTCGCAACGAAACAACAAAGATCCTGAAACGAGCAAAACTTTCAAAGCCCAACACGGCATGTATAGAAAGAGCGGCCTTGAAAGCTCTGGTCTAAGAATTCTATTAGCAAAAAAAAGGAGTTGCAATGGGAAATCAGTAGTTGCTAACTTCTACATGAATCAATTCAAACGACGACCTCTGAAATATTCGCCGGTCCGACCCTCCTGCTGCTACGATATATTGGTGAAAACACGGAAGACTGGCAGATTGGGGCATGAAGTACCTATAAAGAAAACCAACCCATACGGACCGATATTTGAACAAGAACTCCAATCATCATCTGCGATAAAAAAATTGGTTATTAAGAATCTAGCAGAGAGGGCAAGACTTATCTGCGTAACGAAAGGGTTACAAGAGGAAATATGTCATCAGAAGAATGCGTTTCTGGGTAACGGATATAACGGGGTCGAAATTAACCGAGCCTCACGATCCATACAGGAACACTCCACGGTGACATTGGAACGAACGGCCAACAGATGAACTTTTCTGCCCTACATAAGTGACATGTACCAGATTCTCGAAATTCTTGAATTCTCGAAAAACATCTATTTATAATCATTTACAAGAACGACAGAGATTAGTTTCGCTATGGCCGAACAGATGAATCGGCAATGGCAGAACGCGCTCTCTTAGATGGGATCCATGACATTGCCATCGAAAACACGCAAGGTCTCGATAAAACCAGTGGGTACTATCCGAGACCATTCAGAGAGGTCTTGAAAATAAATAAACATAAGAATAATTTCAACCGTAAGGAAAAAAGCTTATTCAACAAAACATTGATACCGGCACTTCATAACACAAAGTTTCTCCCAATAATTGAAGAAAGTCGGACCCATCAAGTACAAAAACAGTCGGCCGTCCGACACCTAGTCTCATTATCAATACAAACGCACCAGGACCATTTTCACTTTTGGGCATCACAGCAAGGTAGATCACTTCAACCGTTGCCGCATCGCCTTTAATAACGTCTACCGCAGTAACGAAAGAAACGTCAGGTATAAAAACCTGCACACCAACAACTAATGAACCCGAAAACACCGGACAAAATTATCCTGAATATTAGAAATAATGGTACGTCTACATAATCTAATACATCTCCATAGAGGTTTGGATCCATAAGCGTCTGTTATATGCTCAAGTTTAAGCTTATCGCTCACTTGTCCGGCACAGCACAGCACGGCGCTGTCCGTCGCCTGATGGCGACGGGTAGTAGCATCGCCCACTTGTCCAGCTACAACCAGCATCCTGAAGGTGCTGTTTGTTCGATTTTAAAGGAATTTCACTTGAAATCGAGCGGTGACAGAAACATGTGTATCATTAGCAGTTCTGACGAAGAAGTCGTTATTATAGTGGCCGCATTATTGAATGTAGAAGAAAATAGTCACAAAAAAGAATGTTGTGGGTCCATCCCATTAATCAAAGAGGGCAAATCTGGGAGAGTGTCGTCATCTTTTCAACGATCTGAAAGAAGACGAGGAGAAATTTTTCGAGTATTTCCGAATGACACCAAGCAAATTTTCAGAATTTCTGGATATTCCAGAGCCTGCCTTAACAAGCAAATCTCCTCGTCCATTTTCATAGGTACCGTCTGACACTGTGCTGTCAACTGACGGAATAGCAAAACAGAAAGACTAAAACTTCCCACCTTCCCAGGCACTTTTGGACAAGTTGATGCTGGCAAGCGCTGGCCGGTGAGTGGTTGTCGATTCATTTTCATTGTTCCAATCCTATCCGCATTTTGACGGGATGGGAACAATGAAAATGAATGGACAACCGCCCACTAGCCCGGCACTGCACAGCCTAGAGTGTCCGTCGCCGGCCAGTGCTTGCCAGCATCAACTTGTCCAAAAGTGCCTGGGAAGTTTCAGCCTTTTTGTTTTGCTATTCTATCAGTTGATAGCACAGTGTCAGACGGTACCTATGAAAATGGACGGGGAAAAATTGAGTTGCTTGTTAAGGCAGGCTCTAGAATATCCAGAAGTACTGAAAATTTGCCTAGAGTCATTCGGCAAATTTTCTCCTCGTATTCTTTCAGCTCGTTGAAAAGATGATGAAAGTCTCCCAGATTTGCCCTCTTTTGATTAATGGAATGGGCCCACAATATTCTTTTTTGTGACTATTTTCTTCTACATTCAATAATGCGGCCACATAATGACGACTTTTGAATTTGGAGTGTCTGTATGAAAGATTGTGACCAAATGGAGCTATAAAGTCATCAGGAATTCAGATCCCTCTTCTCGGCAGGATCCGCGACCATTAAAGGGCAGAAATTGGAGCATTTCTTTCAGTTGATCAAGCTAAACACTTGGTTCAGTTTTCGACACTCAATGAGGTGATCACAACGTTGACACCGAGTTGAAACTTTGAAATTCAAGACCTCGTCTTATCAAAGCAGTTATTTGCATTGCTCAGGTCGAGTGGGCTAAAATCGAAAATTGAGGTGCCATCAAGGCATGCCACGATGGTGTCTTCAATGCTTCAGTCTTCCGTAATCACATGATAGGTATAGAGCTTTAAGATACCAGATGTAGGGCCTGCCGCGAGACGTTCGAGACCCTGATAGACTTGCTGTCGACATATCGGCATATGCGCTCTTAGTTTATATCCATCGACATGACGCGACTTTATGGAGTGTCTAGTGCCACCTAGGGCACTTCCACGGTATTGACGAGGTGGTACCTAAGCTCCGGGAATATTGAGTCCGTTGTGAGAAATGAAAAGTGCCAAATGTATTGGAAATATTCATTATCCACTCTTATGCTGATATAAGCTAATAAATTTGATGTATTCTTTCTAGGCCATCACCACTTCGACCATCAATATTCATCGTGGAGATGACAATTCATTTTGTGATAAAAAGCTAGAAGACATGTTGTGATACTGTTCTAATGATTGATAATTATTTGTAAAGTTCATACATACAGAAGAACTTACTTTAATTTCATGGGTCAACTGCTTCCCCTAAAATATCGACAAGCAAAAGCGTACGCCATGAATATAAAAAACAGTAAAAGAACAAATGGAAGGTGAGTGGTTGTAATTCTTAGTACAGATAAAAATATCTGAGTCTACTACAGATACTTGTGAATTTTTGGGTGTTACAACAGATACTGTTACTGATTGATAATATTTTAAATATTAATACTCACTTCCGAGACCTATACATCTGTTTTGACAGTGTCTTTCTGTTTCAAATCTGTTCCATTCATTCCCTGCACATCCACCCCATATAAACATTAAACACTCTTTCCTGTCATGGTCGAAAGCCCATTTATATAAGTTTCTATTACAGGGGCCTTTTTCTGCTGGTCCAGGGCACGGGTGAGGGTCGTTTCCTTTTGGCATTGCCAATATCGTAATGATGAATGGAAAGAGGCAGGTGATTGATCTCCACATAGTATACCTAATACTATTTC